GACATAAAATCCATAGAATTTTGGTTCTGGGCCAGGCAAGATCCTGTGTGTTAGAGAGTCATTAAGGCAAAGTATGGTCAGTAGACAAGCACAGCCATCACATTTTAAAGAGCAGAGGAAAAATTCAACCCTATAGTTATACCTGGAAGACAAGGAAACCAGTCCTCAGTCCTGTTTCTGGGCACTGACATGGATTTTATATGGAAGGGACACAAATAGGAGACAAAATGCATCACCACCCCTCCCTTCTGGCATGGCTACTTAGAACCCTTGGAATTACTGTGGATATTAGATGAGGTACCAAAGGCTCAGCACTGTACTTGCTTCTAGAGGAGGATGTTTCATTTTTCCATTAGATGATGAAATGTCAGCCTCTTTGGTCATGCCTTTACCTCTGGGTCAGATTCTACAGAATGAAGGTTCATCCCTGGGAAGAGAAATGAATTTACCTCCAAGTGTAAGGACTTCCGTATGCACAACAGTTCAGGCAGATAGCAAGCAAACACCATGCCTAGGATGGAGGTTAGCTTGTGGTTCAGTCACAGAATCCAAACCATCACTGGGCACACAGGTGTTAGGAGTTATGACATTTCTGAAAGGACAAGACAAAATGTCTATGAAAGACATCACCTCAGGGCAGTCAGGAGGGAAGAGATGTGAGACCTGAAATGGAAGAATATTGCCTATCCTGGAGCAAAGGATCCAAAACCAAAATAAGATCATGGGGTAATTTGGAAACAGCTAAGAGTTCAGGGTTTGAGAAGGGACTCTGTGGTTGAGTTCAAAGAGTAAGATTCCCTGTGTGGGAGGTTTAGAGAAAGACACTGATACTCCTATTTACGTAGCAAGACTGTGATAATGAAGCCATGACTAATATAATGGCATATTATAAAGATTAGTTTGGGACATACAGCCTGAAACTAACTCTGTGTTTCCCAGTCTTGACACTCACAGGGTAATCTTCAAGCAATCACACAGTATCCTTTCTGAGTTATGTAATAAGTTACCCAAAAGCAATGAAACTACCCACTGGACTCCAGTGGTAGCTTTCAGGCCCAGAGCATGAGCATGACAAGGGCTAGAGATGCAGATTCATGATTCCACTGCCAGCTTACTTAGTGTGCTGGCGTTCCTCTAGCTCCAGGTGTGAGAACGATGTCCAGATTCAGGCTGTCTTGAATGTAATGAAGGATCTGGATTTCTCTGATTCCTCTTCTGTCTCCACTAGCCTCACTCAGAGCTGTTTCCTACAGGTACTGCATTGTCCTCTATACTGGAGAAGGAGCTCACTAAAGTGGCCACTGTGTTCTCTATTAGGCAACTGCTGGATTTTGAAGACATTCCTGGACATAAACAAAAGGAAGAAAAAATCCAGTCCTGAGTCTAAGATGGAGTCCAACTCTGTCAGATGAGGGGCACAGAAATCAGTAGGCAGTCAGCTGGTTCTGACCTGGTAGCTAGACTGTGACAGAAGCAACACATTTCATTTTGTTGCTATCCTGAGGATGTCGATGCATTTACTGGTGGAAAACCTCTGAGGCTATGATGATAGATATAGAAGCATAGTGGGCTGGGAACCCTGCAGCCCTGGTAGTTCATTAAGACAAGTATAGAAGATGATGACTTTGTTAGAAGTGTGGTCCAAAGTAATCAAAAAGAACATGTTATTCATGGAGAGCAACAACAAAACAGACCACAGACTCCATTCCTTGTTCCTAGTATGCCAACAAGAGGATGCCAGAATGGATGTTGCATATGAAACACGCACTTCTCACTTATGTTATGTCTGCTATTGTGGTTGGAACATAAAATGAACCAGCTAATTCATGTTTTGATATCTAGTCTCCAGATGTGGTATGTTTTATGAGGTTGTTAAACTTTTGGCTATGGGGCCTAGCTAGAAAATTATACCATGGTATTTGCAGTCCTTGTTGCCCTCTCATCTTTGGCCTCCTCCTGTTGCATGCAGTTACCTGTTTTCCAAGACATGAAGGACTGCCCCTGCCATGGGCTCCCACCACCATAATGTCTACTCACCCCATAAACAGCACCAAGCAAACACGGACTGAGAATTTAGAGTCAACGTGAGTCCTTTATCCCTCCAGTTATTCCAGCAAGTATGTTACAGTAGGTTTCACATTAGCATAAAAATTACTAACCACACCTGCTAAGCTTTAGACTGAATACTGGAATTTAAAAGAAAGTAGCTTGCAAAGAGACCTAACTAGTGCAATGAAAAATGTCAAACCTGAATCTTTCACCTTAAATTTTCTAAAGTCACAGGCCAAGGACCTCTTACCTAATTGGTGCTTTTAAGCTCACATCATGTCATTAAGTACTTAAAATATGAGGATCTTTGGGTCACCTACATATCCCTGCTTTTATTTTTTTCATGAAGGGCTTAATATATTTTGATCTTAAGGAATTAGAAGAAATTCTTTCAAATAATGTCTTCAAAGATGAAAGGAGATGTGACTAAAGTCCAGAAGTAGAGCGCTGATATACACTCCCTGAGTCCCTGGATTCAATCCCCAGCAAACGCACACACCACACACAGACACACAGAGAGACACACACAGGCACAGACTTAGGCAGACAGGCATAGGCAGACAGATAGACAGACACAGACACACACACACACACACACACAGACACACACACACACACAAAGAGATAAGAATTAAAAGAAAAGCAAAAGGAAAACTTGCCAGCTGCCCTGAGAAAGAATAGCTGCCGTGGAGCTAACAGAAGTAAAGGAGGAGGAGGCAGAGACTTTGGGACGCATACACTGTTATCCACAATGATGGGAGCTCTAGGGACTGAGATTTATATTCTCCAAGTCTTATAACAGCTGTCAGGCATTCTCACTTGAATCCTCCTTTCCCAGTCTAGTTGTAATTCTCTGCACTGAAGATTGCTTCACCAAAGGGATATGACAATGACATGGGATACAAATGGTGAAAGAGACAAAACTAGGTCACCATGACAATTACTATTCATCCTGGTAACAAATATTTCCCAACACTTCATGCTTTCTATGAATTTTTCACACCTTCTCTCTTTGATCAGGGCACTGTGTCAGGACAACACACACACAGACACATACACACATATACAGAGACCCAACACAGACACACACAGAGACACAACACACACAGACACACATACACAGACACATACACACATACACTCACAGAGACACAACACACACACAGAAACACAAAGAGACACAACACACACACAGACAAACACACACACACACACACACACATGCTCCAACACCCTTTGTGGGTTCACATTCTGCCTAACTTATCAGTCAGCACACCTGCTCTGCAGCAGATGGCTAGGACATGGTTAGTTGTTCTGTCATCTGAAAGGAACTGAATCTGAATTTTCAGGAATGGGACTAAAATTCAAAGAATGACAAAGGCAGAGTCTACTCAATGCACCATTGTTTACATCTATCACCTAGACGTGCAGTGGACAGAGGACAGGTCACTGCCCAAGAGTGGTTTTATAAACTGCAAAGTAGTGCAAGCTTTTAGGAATCAGCCCCTCAGTGACGTTGGTTATATTTGAGTACTCCATAGTTCCTGGTTGTTCGTCATGGCAGTAGATGGGACTGCACTGAGGCCTCCTCTCTGCTCTTCACTCTTGGCAAGCAGTTCCCTTCTGTTCATACTGGGGGTTGGGTAAAGAAGTCCACACCCTCCCTGGGGAGTGGATGGGGGAAGGTGGGATGAGGAGGTTGGTGTGTGGGAGGCACGTGAGGACTGGAGGCAGAGGGAACTGGGGTTGGTATATAAAATAAGATTGTTTTTAATTTAAATGAAAATTTATTTAAAAAAAAAGGAGTACACTTCCAGGAGTGCCTAGTGTTGCATAATCTTTTTCTGGTTTTGCTTGGAAATGGGCAAAGCAGCCAAAAGCCAGCTTGTTAGGCCTATGTTCCAAACAGTGGGAGGCAGTTTACCAGCTCCACCTGTGAATTTCTGTGTCCTTAACACAAGGTGCCACAGTCCCTTTTATAATTTAGTAAAGGGATACTGCTGAATGCCATAGACTGTGTGACTTGGTTTGAATCCCCAGCCCTCTTGAGTTCTGTGAAATACTTGAGTAAAACTCTGATCTCTTATTACCACTTCTGTCCCTAGCAATCATACAGGAAACTAGGTCAACACTCTTACAGAGATAGGACAGGGACAAATGCTGCTGGCTGTTCAGGAGTGTTGGCTCCCAGCCAGGTGCTATGAAGAGTTCACAGGGCCCACCGTCCTCACTTCCATTTACTCCCTGGTTGGCTGTTGGAATTCGTGTGAGATACTTTGTATTCCTCCACTTTAATTTCCCCAGTGATACTGAACATCGGTTTTGCCAGTTCCTTAACAGAAGATCCAGATGTGTAAATGAGTTCTTTGAGGTTCTGGGTAAAGCAGTTTATCATGGAGATTACCCAAACTCCTACTGAAATCAGAGTGACTGACTAAAGAGACTGCAGGAAGCTAAACAGAAAGTAGAAGGCACAAACAGAAGTGGTGTCCAGCTCTGAGAGGAGAAACCTTCCACAAGCAGCCACCTGAATCTACTGTACCCTAGCAGAAACTGGCTTTCCCCAAACCACCAGCTCATCGAGAGAGGCACAGGTCTAGCTCCTGAACTGTAGCTAGAGAGGGGCACAGGCGTGAAGGGCATGCATCTAGCTCTGTTTACACAGACCCTTTTTTAGGCTTTGCTGGATGCAGCTCCCTGTGCCCTTGGAATTTATACAAGGCTTCCTTAAGCATCCTTCCTTTGATCAGGCACTTGACACATCTATCCTCAGACTCAGGGATGTTTCATGGCCCCGGCTGGGGAGTTTTATTGATATAATCTACCTCGGTTCCCATTTCTGTCAATGGGTAGAGAGAGTGTCACAGCAATGAACTAGACAGCAAAGTCAAGGTCATATAGATACTGGGATGCATCTTTATAAAAAAATTTTCCCAGAGCTTTCTCAGGGTTCTTTCTAGTTGCTCCTTCTGATTCAGCAGCTGCAGGCTGGGCCCCCACCAATGAAGACAGAAGTAACATGTGAACTTGGTCACTGCTTGTCTGGGACAAGAATCTGCACAAGTAAGATTTATAAGTCAAATTAAGAAATGATGAGATAGAACTGACTGTTGTTCTGACTTAACAAATTCATTGTCAAATATCCTGGGGACTATCATACTAGGATGTGACAATGTAGAGGGCCACTCCAAGTCCAGGGACTTTTCTTCTTTTCTCCCTGCCCCAAATTCTACCTGTACTCAGCACATGTATGTATGTCATTATGCCTCATGTCCTATGACGACCCTCCATCTTGAGGATGTATATGGCATAGAGCTAGAGTGTTACATCCAGCCTGGAGGGTGTGCTCTGAGAAGGCCTGAAAGAAAACATGGAGGAGCTCAGGAAGACACTGTTCAAACCATATGCCATTCCCCCATTCTTCTCTCCCCAGAGCTAACTCTTCTATCCCTGAACACCTTGTTGGTGACAAGTTCTGACATGGATCTGGTTTGATCATGGCTTCTTTATTTTCATGCTGGGGCTTCACCTTTCTGATTCCTCTCTCAGGGTATGACTTAATTTTTCATGCTATTTCTACCATCACTACATGAGTTCTGCCTTCCAAGTCCCTTATATTATGAATACTCAACATTTACATAAACGTGATTGCATTAAGATCACATAATGTGTACAATTATCTATCTGCCTGTCTGTCTATGTTTGTGCTATTTGAAAAATGTGTCTCCATGGAGCTGAAAGTTTCCTGGCTTTTTGTTTGATAAGGGTCCTAATAAATCATACCTTGACTCAATTATCTAAAACAGGACTTAGCAAGCAATGACCTGTGGGTCAAAGCGCTCCTGCTTCCCTCTTAGCAAAGAGCTTTATTAGAGCAGAGTTACCACATACACAACATTGAAGGCTGGTTTTGCCCTTGAATGCCAGAGTTGAAAGTACAGTGATGCTGTACCATCTATAAAACCAAAAACCAAAACCAAACAAAAAAAAAAAAACAAAAGACCATTTGCTTTCTAACCTTTTGAAGAAAAAAAAAGTGTTTCCTGAAATCATGCAAGAGTGATGATTACTACACTAACTCTACTTTTGTGTTTTAAAATGTTAGTTACACATATTAATGATGTCAGTACAGTATCTCTATATGTATAAGTCATTGATCAAATCTAGAGACTTTTTCACCTGTTCTTTCTGTCTCCTTGTTTTCTGGGGTTGAGGGATAGTTGCCGTCATAGGACTGCACTGCCTCTCTCATACTGTGGCTCCTCTTCTGTTTCTTGATTTAGCCCCTTGTGTCAGTGGATCACATCTGCTGGCAGCTTTCTCTGAAAAGGTAGTGCATGAAGTGAGAACATGACCACTGCCAGGCATGGTCATGTTTAACTGTAGATTTGAAGGAGAGCACAGCCAAAGTCATCTGGAAGAGTCCAGAGCATGGAGAGAAAGGAATAGACTAAACATTACCAGTCGACTGAATTGGGCCACAAGAAGGGGGTCAAGGAGGAAGAGGAGAAAGGAAGACAAAGGAGAGAGGGGGCAATAGAGGCCAAGAGAAACCCAAGAGAACTAAGAGCACATGGCCAAAATGCCTGGGTTTTATAGGAATGAGAAGCTCATGAGTTGGAGAAATTTGGGTTAGGGAGCAGGATGAGAAGAGCTAGGATGCCAGTATAGACTGTGCAACTGGTACTTGAGATTCTGAGAGGATCCAGGGCTTGGAGGCCAGCATGTGCTTTGGTATTGTAATAAGCACCAAAGTTGGCCATTTGGATTTCATTTGGATCTAATAGATAGATGGCAGGCAGACACCTTTTGACAACAGCATCTTGTGAAGCTTTTCTCTTGTGTTTATTGCTAGTTTGCCTGAGAATAGAATCATTGGTTAGAAATTTTTTTCCTGAGAGTGAAGGCATCATTTCATTTTTTTCTCTCTTCCAACAGTGCAGACATAAAGCCACTCTGACACCAGGTTCTTTATAGTTCTGTTTCCCTTCCTGCCTCCCCTGGGGATCACTCTGATTCTTCTCTCAGTTCTGATCTCAGAGCACTTCATGTTCCCTGCCTCTTTGCCTTGTTTCTCTATTGTCTCATCACTTTCTGGCTATTCTCTCCTGGCTCTCTCCAGTTGTGTTATCCCCTTTCACTTTTCCTGGGTTTATTTGTAGCTTCTGCTCTCTGTGAGGTTGTTTTCTGCAGGAAGCATCATCTATGCCTTTCCTCTTGACCTCTCCCATGGATGATCTCATGTCTTCTTCTTGCCCTTCCTCCAACCTTGGCTACATAGAAAAAGTTTGCAAAGGAACCAAGTTGGAGCAACTGACAAACTGGAACCCTATATCTTTTGCTTCCTGCTTCAGAATCACTTGGGGTATACATGAAGTCCCTCAAAATGTAGGGAGGTGGTGTGTCAGGGGTTTCCTTGATGGCTTGGGTGAGAAGTCGTAGGGGACATGCTTTTCTTCTCTCCTGTGGGTAGTTCAGAGTCACATTCCACAGAATTTTCCAGAGGTAAGCCCAGCAACAATGAACTCCAACTGCCTACAGGTCTGACCTGCTGAAAAAGCACAACCAAGAAACTGGAAATGGGTTTGCATACTGGTGTTCTCAACACACAAGACTCTGAGGTAATGTGGACTCTATCCTGAGACTGTATATATAACGGATTTTTCTTATTGATGTGACAAAATATCTGATTAAAACAACTTAAAGAAAAGAATGTATTTTGTCCTAATATCTGAGAAGATGCAGTTTACTGTGGTGGGGATTCTATGACTGGCAGCAGGAGAGTGAGTGGGTTGTTCACATGGTACCCACAGTCAGAAAACAACAGAAATGAACACAAATGCTCTACTCTCTGCTTTTTATTTGTTAGGAAACTTGGTTACCTGTAGGAGGAAGTCTGATGCCGCCATTAAACATGTGACTTACTAAGTCTATGCCGCCATTAAACATGTGACTTACTAGAGGCGCATACAGATGAGGTAATAAAAGGGCGGTTTACCACACCGCTAACCACACCCACTTTAGGCAGGACTAAAGACGTATACGGCTGGACGTAAAGACGTATACGTACGTAGGCGGAACTACATCACTAGCCATTGTGCCGTACAGCTGCTTTAAATGCCTTGGATAAGGTTTGTGAAACAGGAGAGATAATGCAACCCTACACCAAGGTATTACAGGGCCCAAGGGAAAGGTTCACTGAATTTTTAGAGAGATTATCCAGAGCAGTAGAGGTACAGGTAGCGAACCCAGAATCCAGGCGTCTTCTTATAGAATCTTTGGCGTATGAGAACGCGAATCCTCAATGCAGGCAGGTAATTTGGCCATTAAAAATAAGATCAGCGCCATTGGAGGAATGGGTTCTGCATACAGCGAACCTGGAATGTAAAAGTCAGGATACAGGAGCTTGGGTAGGTGAAGCTATTTCTACAGGTTTGAGGAGGCACCAGGATGCCAAATACCCTACCTGTGATGATATAGAGGCATGGGTAGGGAAGGCAATCTCAAAGAATTTAAATAGGCGTAAAGATGCAAAATGCTTTAACTGTGGTAGAATAGGACATCTTAGTAGGAACTGTAGACAACGCATTCCTAGAAATAATGCTTTTACCAGGAATGTATCAAACAGAAGGCCTAAGCCTCCTGGTCTATGCAGGAGGTGTGGGAAGGGGCGCCATTGGACTGATGAATGCTTTTCCACAATAGACAGACAAGGTAGATCTTTACAGCAGGGAAACGGGCTTCCGGGGCTCCATGGAGCCCCGAAGAGGAAGATTATCCGGTCATTCCCAGTGACAGTGGAGGACAGCCTCTCCCAGGACAATTAGAAGATCCACTGCCCATTGTAAATAATACGGCACTGGATAATACATTAGCTCCAGAGGATGAATCAATTACATCAGGAGGAGATACAAAACATATATTTTGGCAAACTTCTATACAATATCATAGACCCAAACTTCCGGTTAAGGTAAATAATAGGGTGATTTACGGATTACTGGACACCGGAAGTGACGTCACTATCCTTAATCAGCAGTCCTGGCCACAAAACTGGGCTTTAAAAGAGGTTAATGTTCAATTCTTAGGGATTGGAACCCTATCTGAAGTTAAACAGAGCGTTAGATGGATTGACTTTATTGGGCCAGAAGGACAGAGAGGAAGGTTAAAGCCATACGTTGCAGATATTGCTATAAACCTCTGGGGTCGTGATCTACTCCAGCAATGGAATACGCAGATTAAAATTCCTCCTGTATCAGCTAGGAATTATAGACAAGCTCTTAGTGGTAGTAAGAATATAGTAAGACAGTACAGAAAACAGATGCCAAACGTACAGGCTGTGCAGAAGCAAGATGCTAGTGCCAAACCTACAGAGCAACCAAAAGCTCTACCATTAAAATGGCTGACAGATGAACCCGTCTGGGTGGGTCAATGGCCTATGACATCTGAGAAGTTAGAGGCTTTGGAGAAGTTAGTTCAGGAACAGCTAGATGCTGGACACATTGAGGAATCAACTAGTGCGTGGAATTCGCCTGTTTTTGTTGTCAAGAAGAAGTCTGGTAAGTGGAGAATGGTTACTGATCTTAGAGCCATCAACAAGGTAATTCAGCCTATGGGGTCTCTACAACCTGGGATGCCGTTACCTTCTCTAATTCCTAAGGATTGGCCAATTATAGTTATAGACTTAAAAGATTGTTTCTTCACCATACCGTTACAAGAAAACGACAGAGAAAAGTTTGCCTTCACAGTACCTACCTATAATAATTCCCGTCCGGTACAGAGATTCCAGTGGAAGGTACTACCTCAAGGTATGTTAAACAGTCCAACTTTGTGTCAATATTTTGTGAATAAACCTCTAGAAATAATTCGTAAAAAATTTCCACATTCGTTAATATATCATTATATGGATGACATATTATTGTCTGATTCAAATAAGGATACTTTGGAAAAGATGTTTGAGGCAGTAAAGGAAATTTTGCCTCGCTGGGGATTACAAATTGCCCCAGAAAAAATACAAAGAGGAGATTCTATTAACTATTTAGGTTATAAAATAGATGCTCAGAAAATTAGACCACAGAAAGTACAGATCAGAAGAGATCGTTACCGGACTCTTAATGATCTTCAAAAACTATTAGGAGAAATCTCTCAATTACAGACGATTATTGGTGTAGAAGGGCATGATTTAAAACACCTGAAAATGGCTTTAAAAGGAGATAAAGACCTAAACAGCCCACGAGTACTATCAGCTGAGGCTGAAAAAGAATTAGAATGGGTAGAAAAGAGAATATTAGAAGCACATGTGGACCGTGTGGATCCAAATCTGGACTGTATTCTGGTTATTTTACCATCTAGAGAATACCCCTCAGGAATATTAATGCAGAGGGACGACATCATTCTAGAATGGGTATTTCTGCCACATAAACAAAATAAAAAATTGAAAACATATATAGAAAAGATATCTGATTTGATATTAAAAGGTAAATTAAGGCTTCGTCAACTGACTGGGAAAGACCCAGCTGAAATTATTGTACCTTTAACGAATGAGGAAATTTCCTCCTTATGGAAGGATAATGAGTATTGGCAAATAGCTTGCAGTGACTTTTTGGGAAGTATTAGTAATAACTATCCCAAAACAGAGAGAATCAAATTCATAAAGAAAACAATTTGGATTCTTCCACGTATCGTGAGGCAAACACCTATTTCTGGAGTTCTTACCTTCTACACGGATGCAAACAAATCAGGTAAGGCAGGGTATAAATCAGGAAATATAAGTAAAGTAGTTCAAAGCCCTTACAACTCCGTACAAAAGGCAGAGTTATATGCCATTCTCATGGTACTTAAAGACTTTACAGAGCCTCTCAATATAGTCACGGATTCTCAGTATGCAGAAAGAGTTGTCCTGCACATTGAGACTGCAGAATTTGTTCCTGATAATACAGAATTAACCTCATTGTTTTTACAATTGCAGGAAATCATCAGAAACAGGACTCATCCTATATATATAACACACATCAGATCCCATACAGGTCTGCCAGGTCCTCTGGCACAAGGCAATGATGAAATTGATCGTTTATTAGTAGGTAATGTGTTGGAAGCTTCAGAATTTCATAAGAAACACCATGTTAACAGCAAAGGTTTAAAGAAGGATTTTTCTATCACCTGGCAACAAGCCAAAGAAATAGTAAGAAATTGTCCCAGTTGCTCATTGTACAATCAAACTCCATTACCAGCAGGTTGTAATCCTAAAGGTGTTCACAGAAATGAACTTTTGCAAATGGATGTATTTCACTTCCCAGAATTTGGCAGTTTGAAATATGTACACCAT